CACAGTTTTCTCCAGCCTTTGTGGAATTCTCAGAATCCCATGGCAGTAAGTGGCAAGCTCAGCTCTAAAAATTACCTTTCTTTCCTTCCACACAGCTGAATTTTACAAAAATTAGCTTTATCTAATAATGAACTTCCTAAAAATATCATTTACTGGGACACAGACTTGACAAGCCATTTTAGTTTCAGTTTGTCTTCTTTTTTTTGTCCTTAAAATTCTGGAATGGTAACCTAGTTTGGGAATGATTAAGATCCAGGAAAGGGAAGGGAAGGGAAGGAAAGTTGCTCCTTCAAAAGGAGTTGGTCAGGCCATGCTGCACACATAGTCAGTCCGTGGCTATATGGACTCTGCTTGCTCTCTCTTTGGCCTCACTTTTCCTAGTCTGTAAATGGGGAGCAATGATTTTTTTCTTGGAGTTAAATATGGGTTCAATTAAAATGCCTGCTATAGATTTCAGGCTACAGGAAATACTCAGCACCTCCCCGCTTCCCTTTATTCCACAGTTTGATCAATTCTCACCAGCTGGAGATGTCTCTTTTCAAAATGGCTACTTTAATATCCTTAAAATACTAAAAATACCCCACACTTAAAATTTGAATATTAAGTACTCTTCACTGAATAATGCTACAGAATTAATTTTACTGAGTGAGTCTTTTATGCTCTGAGTTAATAAAAGTCCATGTTTTTAGTACCTAAGGATCCTATGAGTCTCTTTAACTCTGTTATAACTAATTTTGCAGAATTTCCAGAAATTATAAATGCCAGTAGAAATCTCTGCTTGTTCTTCAGTGCATAGCTCTCTAAGATCTGGAGCTTAGTAGTGCAGGTGAGGGGTCTGTGACGAGCCTGTGAGGACAGGGCATTGAACTGCCTTTGTGTTGCCAAGAAAGGCTCACCACAGCCATGCTTTCCCAGTGCTCAAAGTTTAAAAATACAGAATGGCACTTCATCTCTTCTGAGGACTCCTACTGTTTAAAAACTCACTTTTTAAATTGTAGTTATTCTAGCATAACTGACTTTTACTGCAAATGTGTAGAGAAGCAAGGCTTGGGTTCCTGCTGTCCTTGAGGGGAGGTGAGCTATACTTCCCCATCTATAGCTTCAAGAGACAGTGATGTGTTCCTGCCAGGTTACTAAATTACCTCTTTGGTCATCAGTTCTTGTCAAAATAAACAAACAAACAAATAAATAAATAAATAAATAAATAAATGGATGGCATGAGCCATTCTATGTTTCTAAATGCAGTCATGTATGCAAAATCACACAGTCACAAGTAGCCCAAAAGATCCCACCTTGAGAAACCAATTCATGTGCCACCGTGGAGCCAGTAAGGTGGTTCAGTGGGTAAAGGCACCTGTTACCAAGTCTGACAACTTGAGCTCAGGCCTCAGACCCCATGTCACAGAAGGAGCCACTTGTGCAGTTGTCTTCGGCCCTCCATGTGCTCCCCATGGCATTCGTATGCTCACAGACATACTCATTAGATACGTACAGATAAAGTGTCTCGTTCACTGGGCAAATTACTTTTTAGTATCTCCCTAGAGACAGGTAGAGGGTGTCAAGAAGAAGCTTCTGTGTGACTCAGCTTCTTTGCTCCCATAGCTATTTCCATCCCACAGAGGCCCCTCTAAGAACCCTTCTGTCATATTGAGGGGTGTATTTGGTATGCACTCTCAGACTTCGAAATTTTAAGTGATGAGATAGTGCCCCATAGTGCCCCCTAAAAACCTCATGTCTTGAGAGTATTCCGTATCAGTTTGTCATTTCCTTTTACAGCTGCTACCAAGCATTGGGTTTGAATTATTCTTAGCTTACTGTTGGGCATTAAAGTAGTTTCTGGGTGTGGTGTCTCCTCCTCCTTCTCCCATTTTTGGGGTTCTGTACTCTTTGCTTCACTTTTCCAATCATGCACCAGTTTATTTCCTATCTTTAGTGGTCTGGGCAGTGGAGCACCATACCACCGTTATGGGAAACCTCGCCTTTTCATGCACCTCCTGAAACATGCATGCCAGCATATTAACTTCAGTATTCTTGGCAAAGCTTGCCCTTCACCCCACAGATGTGAGTAGCTGTGATTAAGGATCTTGAGCCAGCCGATGGGCTTTTCATCCCCAGCATCTGACTTAGCAGTCACCTTGGCCTGTGATTGCATTCTGCCCACACTGTTCCCTCAAGTGACCAGCAGACATCTGACCTTGCTGGGCAGAACTGGGTACCTCCAGGAATGTCCTTTGCTTGCATCTACACTTGGCCTCTGGTTGGTTGCTCTTCTTCTTGTTGTGACAAAATGCCTGGCAAAAGCCACTTGAGGGAGGAAAGGGGTTTGAGGGGAGTCTGGTGGGTATGAGAGGCTGCTCATACTGCAGCCAGTCAGGAAGCAGATCACAAGCCACGCTGATGGCCAGCCTGCTTGCTCCTTCATCCTTTGTGTTCTCCCAGCACCCAGCCCAATTCGTGTGGCTCTCCTCCTTAGTTAACCTCCTCCCAGAAGCTTGTCTCCTAGACAGCTCTAAAGCCATCACAGCCTCTTTTTTCTCTGGCATCATTGCTTTCCCTGTATGACTTTGTTCCTGCCATGTTGGTGAGGTACATGGAAAGAGGGGATCAGGTGTATCACAGTCAGTTCTCCCGCGTGGTGTTGCAGTGTAATGTGCATCAAGGTTCTCTTCTGAAAACTCAACCTCTCAGAAACTTGCCTTCTAATACCTACTCATAAAAGGAAGAAATCTTTTCCCAAGTTCAGTCTCTGGAAGCTGTCAAGAAACCTTGACAGTGGCTGTTGAGTGCTATTCTTTGGGTTGACTTCTTTGTGTTCTGCCTCTGAGAGTCAGCTCTTCTGTATCTGTGTCTCTTCTCGTCCCTCTCTCCCTTCATACTTTTTCCTCTGTGTGTATCTGTTTCTTACACTGTCCTCTTTGCTGCTCTGACTGCTGCAGTTTTAACCCCAGCAGCATAATTTACTATTCTCATTATAATCTCAAAGGATGTTTCAAAGGATGTGAAATGTTTCCCAGCATCCTCCACCTACCTCTGTCCTCCTCACTCAGTGCAGCTGTTGTGTGCAGCTTACTCTCATGCAGGTAGCATGTAGGTGCTTCCTAACCTAATAGTAAAGAACTTTGTAAAGTAGTTTTCATACTTTGCAAATTATTCCTACTATGTTGCTTATTACCATAGTGTTAACAAGCAACTTTCTTTCAGATTGTTGGCTCACTAACTGGGCAGTCAATAGGGGTTGGTTTTAAAACTGTTACCCTATATTTCAGTGGATTTTTAGATTCCCACATTCCTATCCATGGCATTCTTCAAACAAATGTTTCTAAAAATCCTTTACATAGAGCTCCAGAATTTAAAATCTAAAATGTGCTACCTAAGTCATTCAGAGGCAAAAGCCTGAACTGAAATAAAACTGTTCAGATTTTTGATTTGCCTGCTGTGTTGTGACACTAATATATATTGCTACAGGCTTAACAGTGTGTTTAATTATGGATGCCTTGCAGAGTTGTTGTGTGTGTGTGTGTGTGTGTGTGTGTGTGTGTGTGTATGTATGTGTATGTAGTGTGTGTGGTGTGTGTGTAGTGTGTGTGTGTGTGTAGTGTGTAGTATGTGTGTGTATGTTTCTATCTCACTACTTTTCTAAAATCTGAAAGTGCAAATTCCAACACTCATGTGTCCCCACAATTTTTAGTAGGGGATTATGGGCTTGCAATATCCAGTTCCTAAACTAGTATGTGCACTAGTATATTTGAGCTTAAATGAAGTTTGATTAATATGAGGCACTTAAAAATGAGAAACTTCTCCACAGCCAGGCCTTGTGACCTTGAGGCCTTGGGGAATAAAATGGATGATTCAGTCCTTAGACTTGGGGAGCCAAAATGTTTCCTTAATTGTTCTCTTAAGGTTGTAGTAATTGCTCTGTGGTCAGGCCAATAAATCTACAATGAATGGAACATTATTCCATCAGTTAAAACTGTCCCGATTACTATCCTAGAAGGTGCTTTCTGTGTGATTCATGGTCCCCAACTCCCACTCCTTCAGCTCTGTACTTTTATCATCCTGTGTCTCTTTGGTTATGTTTAACATTTTTTTAAAGCGTCATATCAGCTTTTTAATACTTATGATTTAATTGCAAAAGCATACATAAACACTTTGAAATGTGTGAAAAGAAAATTCACAAGTCACACAAGAACAGCACCAAAGCCACCTTCAGTCTGGAACCCATCACTTTGCAAAGCAAACTGCACTGCCAGCACCAAATGGTGCAGCCAACAAGCAAAAAGCCAGTGGATGCAAAAGCATTTGTGTTAGACCAAAGATGCAGTGGGTGGTAGATTAACTTAGTATGCCTCAACTTCATCAAGCTTAGGTGTATTGGAGAATCAAGGCATCTATATGAAACCGTTGAATGCGCCAGGGAGATGCATTGCAGCTCTGGAGGTCAGGAAGGAAACTGGAGTTGCTCTGGCTTGTAATGATGGGTCAAATATGGGTAAAGACAGAAGCTGGATAAAGGACTTACAGAGCACAAGGACCAGAAGGACAGAGTCCAGCTCTCTAGAAGCTCTCTTTAATGGATGACATTCTAACACGAGAATTGTGTTGCAACAGTGGAGAATTACAGTCCTTGGGAAATCAACACACAGGGAGGTGACCTTCAAGCCTTGTCTTGAAGGACATAGGTAGTTGCTTAGAAAGATGGCTACAGGCCAAGGAATCTGTTCTGAACAGATAAATCAGATGTTTTGTTAATTCTCTAAGTATGTGCGTGTGTTGTGTGTCTGCACGTTCACAAACTCACTAGTGTAGATGTCTGCCCGTGAATGCAGGTGCCTCCACAGGACAGAAGAGGACATTGGATCTTCCTGAAATTGAGGCACCTGTGAGTCGCCCAACATGAGTACAGGAAAATGAACCCAGGTCCTTTGCAAGAGCAGTATATCCTCTTAACTATTGAAGTTTCAGTCTAGAACATTGTAGTAATCTGTATATTATCATTGCAGGTGAAGCAAACATCCCTTCTGGAACAACACAGAGTGGAAAAACCTCACAGAGTAAGAGTCAGTTTAGGACCATTGCACCAAAAATTGTGCCTAAAGTCCTAACATCCAGAGTGCTACCCTGCCCTTCCTTGCTTTCTGACCAAGGGAATCTGGCTCTAACGTCCAAGCCTCTGGGCATGCCCACCCAGAACTATGCTCTGATGCAGGTGGCTGGCCAGGAGGGGACATTTTCTCTTGTTGCTTTGCCAAATGTTGCCTCAGCCCAGCCATTTCAGAAGCCCAGAATGTCCATACATGAAAACCTTAAGCTACCTATTCCTCGATACCAGCCACTAAGTAGCAAAGTACTAAGAAAGAAACAGGACCTGTGTTCTCCCAGGGGTGGCTCCAGTGACCCTCCTGGCCCAGCCCAGTTATGTCATTTGAGCCCTTCCCCACAAGCCCATCCTGAGCTGCCTCACAAACTCAGCCCATGGAAGCGAATGTCCACTTTAAACCCTTCCCCCACCAGTGTCAATATAGCTACACTGACCAGTGGTATTGGCCAAGGAGATTTGAGTCCTCTAGTGACCAACAGTTGTGAAGATCTGGAGCTTCCTGCTATTCCAGCATACACTACAGAGGACTCTTCTTCCCCACAGAGCCTCCCAGCAAGTATGCAGAAGGCAGGTTGTGCCAGGAAGGAGGCACCCACTAAACCTGCTGTTGCTGGTGAAGAGCTCAAAGAACAGGTAGCTCCTGCTCATGCTCCCTTCAGCAGTGCAGTTCAGTTGGTCTCTGTAATACCCAAGGGTAAACTGCCCATCCTGCCCTTCCCAAAAGTGAAAACCACAGAGGTGGGCAAAGTGGAACCAGATGCTGATAATGCAGAATTGTCTTCATCTGGATGCAAAGCAAACTGTGATGAGAGACTGTCCATCACAGAAGGGTTTGATGCAGCCACTGAGACAGCCAGCAAGATACCTGCTCTGCATGGGTCTAAGCAGAGTGCTTGTGAAAGTGCCTTCTGTTCTGTCACCAAATTAGATCTCAGCCATAAGGCAAAACCCAGCAGTGGGATAAAGAGAAGGGGAAGAAAATGGAAAGTACCAGATGAGATTTTAGCATTGCAGGGCAAAAGGAGGAAATGCATTATTGGTATGTGTGGAGATGGCATAGAAAGGGCAAGAAACAGTCCCCAAGAACCCAGAGACCAGAAGCCCAGGGCTGCTTCGAGAAAGTATCGTAACATCATGCCCAAGCCTGTCATCGTCCTGTCTGCTTTGGCGCCCCTGGCATCTCCTGCAGCTGTGCTGTCCCAGGCTCCCAGCTGCCTAGGTCAAGATGTTCTGAATAATGTCCTGCCTCCAAAATGTCTTGTCTCCAAGCAGAGTGACAGCCTTGCCCTGAAGCCCAGCTCTGCACTCAGAAATGGGTTCTCTGGCATTAGGAAGCCCTGGCACATGTGTCCCGTGTGCAACTACCACTTCCAGTTCAAACACCACCTTCTAGACCACATGAATGTACACACCAATAGACGCCCGTATAGTTGTGGAATCTGTCGCAAGACCTACGTGCGTCCTGGCAGCCTAAGTGCACATATGAAACTTCACCATGGTGACAATCGCCCCAAGAAACTCGTGTGCTGTGAATTTTGTGCAAAAGTATTTGGTCATGTCCGGGTCTATTTCGGCCATCTGAAGGAGGTACACAGGGTTGTGATCAGCACAGAGCCCTCCCCCAATGAACTGCAGCCAGGAGACACACCAGCAAACAAGGTCAGAGATCTCGGTATGCAAGGACCTGACAGCTCACTGGAGAGGTAAGTGTTCATGGAAGGGAAGGTGACAGGAAAGTCTGTTGTAATTTGAGAAGATTAAGATTCAGAAAACTCACCAGGAGTAGGGGTGCACACCTATATAGTCCTAGCACTTTGCAGAGACAGACAGGAAAATTAGAAATTTAAGATCAGCCTAGGCTATGTAAGACCCTGTCTCAGAATAACAACAACAACAAAAGATGTCATAGGTAAAATAAGTCACCTGTCCCACCCCTTCAGTTCTGTGAAGAATGACCCCATTTCTTGTTGGTTTCTGCTCAGTCACAATGTTTAACTACTCAGACTTGTGTAAGTCAAGGCATGAATACCAGTTTGGAGTATGTTGGGGACAGTTAGGTGACAGATTATTTTTTGTGTCTAAAAATTAAAATAATAGATTATTATATATAGCTTTTAGTAATCTCTATAAAATAGTTCCCCCAAATTACCGTTTGTGGAATTCTTATCTAAACAGCATTATTTGTCTCATAATGCTTTGTGAGGCTACCCTCTTCACCAGACCCGGAGGTGCTCCAACTCACCCTCCACATGTGCCTTTTGTTACCTGACAGGCCAAATTAACTTGTCCCTATATCCCTCTTTTTAAAACACTGCTCCTTGACATTATAACAAACAAAACAACAACAAACCTTTGTAACCTGGAAGCTGACAAGGCAGGCACTTGAGCAGTAATGACCAGGGACGTGCTCACAGTGTAGTCCCTGCACCCACCACTGAGGTGACTGTGGAATGAGAAAGAAACCCTATCCAGGACCTTAGGTTCTTTGCCCCTTGTTTTTATGGTTCCAGTTTTTCTAAATATTTTCTGTTGTGTTTCATAATGGATATAAGCCGGATGCCTGCCCCAGCTTGTCCTTGTCTTTGGGCTTTCCTCTTCTCCACTAGCATGCCTTTCCCTACTGTGCCTGCCATGCAGCCTCCTTCACACTTGTTTCATGTACTTAGATCATCTTGAAACGAGATGTCAGGACTTCTCTAATGGTGGGGGTGGCATGGATGAGTGGGACAGTCATTTCCAGAAGTGCCACAGGGTATCTTGGCAGCTCCTATCATGTTACCTTATCTTCCTGTTGTGTACATCTGTGGTATCAAGGGAGCTGGTTCACTAGGGGGAGATGCAAGGTTCCTCTGAAATGGTCCCTGGTGTTCTCAAAGATGTATGGCTCTGTGAGTAGACATGTGTGCCGTGTTCTCTGATGGGGCTCTGCAGAGTTCTGTCCAGTCCCTGCTTTCCTAGCAGGGTGTTTTATATTCCTGGATACCAAGACCTGGCAGCAAGAGATCCAGTTGCATTTTCCTAGTGTATCTTACCTAGACTATTTCCCCCCTTTACAGGGAAACCAAGTCAAGTTTGGAAGAAGATTTCCTTCTAAACCAGGCAGATGAAGTCAAATTGCAAATCAGATGTGGCCGTTGTCAGATCACTGCTCAGTCTTTTGCTGAAATAAAGTTTCATTTGCTTCATGTTCATGGGGAGGAAATTCAAGGCCGGCTGCAAGAGGTGATCCTACCAGGCAGCAGATCTGATGTTCCCCACCAGAAGCCGTACACAGAGAGAAGGACGCAGATGAAGCCCTATGCTTCTGTGGAGGACTCTCCAGCATTCCCTAGAGTGAAAAGACAGCCAACCCCTCATCAGAACAGAGAGGAAGCCCTGGTAGGAAGTGAAGGTAGCCAGTGGGAAATGACTGGCCCACCGCATCCTGCCAGGTTTCTCTGGTCCCACACAGGCTTTAATTGCCTGCTCTGTGCTCAGATGCTCGGAAGGAAGGAGGACCTGCTTCTTCACTGGGTACGCCAGCACAACTGTGAAGACCCCACCAGACTCTGGGCTCTCCTGGGTACGTTCTCTAACCAAGGAGCTCCTGAGCTCCCCAGTGAAGCAAGGCTATGACACCGAGGCCCAAGAGATGCTGCACCACCTTTCTCACAGTCTGTGCTGTTAGTATTTAATTGTAAGGATCCAGCGCTCCAGGGCCAGGAACAGTCAGTGCACAGAGGACATGTTTATGCATAGTTTTATTTTCTTAAGAAATAAAATATGTGCCCTGAATGCATTTTTCTAACATATGTAGTCTCACTTTAAAATTCCATGCATTCTCCAATATCGTAGACTTTATTTAATAATAAATAAAAAGATCAAAATTAGGAAATTGAAATGTAGAGACAATTGTTATTCTCAATTGCCAGCTTTTGAGTATGAGTATGTGTGTATGTTGTATGTGATAAAGACAGACAGAGAGTGAGGAGGGGAATATATGTACATGTGTCTTTTGATGCTATTTGATTATACTTATTAACCTTTAATTATACAGGTGTGGAATGTGGTATAAAACTATAGTATGTGATAATTGTTGATATTTATTAGTCTCTGGTTTATTTGCATATGCTCTAGAACAGTCTTTTTAAAGATAAAAAACACAAAATAACACAAAATCTGTTTGAAAAACACATTTTTAAAAAATTTTTGTTGTTTTCTTAAATGTGCAGTGCTTTGAAGAGTAGCTATCAAGTCTTCTAGTGTTCCTTCTCAAATTAATAGAAAAAAGAGCTACTTCAGCTAATAAAAAAAAACCCTACTTACTTGGTAGAAAGTTATTTTCAGGAAGTCTTTGTGGCCAGAAAATTTACAACCCAGAGAGTGAACTAGCTGGCACAGCCCAGATGCAGTGGTGCCACCTGCTTTCTCTCCCTCCCTAGAACTTCAGAGGACTGTCGCTAGCTGATCAATTTAAGATACACTGTGCCTTTAAAGCCCATAGTCTCTTTGAAAGTCAAGAGTAAGTAAGGACCTCTTAAAGTCCTAGGAAATTACCTTGACTCACCAAAGTTGCCATTGGAAGTTGCTGGCCGTTCCGGCTGTTGAGTCATTTTCTGAGCAGTGGGGTCTGAGCACTTTATACCACTGCCTTGAGGTGAGAGCTCCGTGCACATGGCCCTCCTATGCTGTTTGCCAGACACAGGCTTGAGAACGTTCCCGGGAATGGAGAAGGATTGGATTGATACACTACTGGGTCTTGCATCACCTTTTAAACACAATGTTCATAGGTGCCTGGTGGCTGCAGCAGTGCAGGCAGGAGACGGCTAACAGTTTTGCAGACCTGTGAAAGAGATTTGGTTTGGATTCCCACAAACATTTTGCCATGGTTTATCCATTGATCACCCTCAGCTCAGCTTCAGAGAGATGGGGACAGGGGATGGGGTGGAATACAGTACTTTGCCACTTAGTCTCTGTGACCTGGAGAGAAGTCTTTTGCCAGGGCTCTAGCCACTCTGTAGAATAATAGTGATTATCCCCCTCAAGAAGTGACTAGGAAAACTACTTGAAACACATGGCAGCAGGAAGTTGGTATTTCTTATGCTTTGGGCAAGATCTGAAGGAGGTACATTACAGCATATAAAACAAAGTGGAAACAGCCCAGATAGCCCTGAACAACAGACGGCAAGATCAGGAAGTACAGAGAAGCAGAGGAATCCACATCTCCGTATGAGAAGCACATTTATGGAGGTGGATACTCTTCAGGTCTGCCCCTGTCCCCTGTAACTGCCCCTCTGCCCTCCTCTGCTGAAGCTGTTGTCATATGCACATCCCACCCAGAAGCTGGTTTAAGACCATTAGCCTCTTGAGGACATGAATGATCCTTTGTCAGCCTGGAGTCCCACAAAAGCTCATACTATGCAGGAAATAGCATACAGATCATTGCTAGGGTAGGAAGTGTCTGCATCAGCTAAATGCAAATTTGTTGCTTTGCGGTCTCCTCCTCCTCCTCCTCCTCCTCCTCCTCCTCCTCCTCCTCCTCCTCTTCTTCTTCTTCTTCTTCTTTAATAAAATTCCAAGCCTGTATATAGCTATGACAGCATCCCAGCACTTTAATTTTGTTAATATCTGCTTCTCAGAAAACTGTCCCAAAGCCAGATTTTTTTCTCTTTTCTTTGGCTGTAAATTATTTCTGAGAGTTAGAGCATTTTTTGATTTGTACTGTTTTATTACTTGTCCTGTTTATTCATGTCCCTTTGGTTGCACTTGCTGGCTCTCTGGAGCTCTTCCTGGTTTAGCCCATCCTCCTCTGCTGAACTGTTCCTCATATGGAAGGCTGTCTCTTCGTCTGCACACAGTAAATAACTGAGCCTGGGCATGTTCCATGGCCTTCTCTGGCTGAAAACTCCTCCTTTCCCAGCTGTGCGGCTCCAGTTTTCTGTGAGCCAGTGACATGATTGCTGGCAATAAATGTTGCACTTGGTTTATTTACTAGGAGTCTCCGATCTGGATAGGGCTGCTCCATTCAAGCTGCCGACATGCTTTGTTGTGTGCATGTTTTATAGAGTCTTCTTTTTTTTACTGGGCTCCTGAGAACAAGAGGATTTACTGGTTTTAGCAGCATAGGGTTTCAGCTTTAAGTCCTGCTGGATAGGCAGCAGCTGATCCCAGCTTCGGTGCTGGCTTATCTTATGTGCCTGAACTATCTCCAGAAGTGTGACTTCAGGGGGAGGTGTCTCATGCTTACCCTGGACCATGGTGGTTCCATCATGAAACCACAAGCCCTCTTTCTCGGGTGTATTATGGACTCAGGGTCAGGGTGCAGGCACTGTTGGGGAAGCACATGACAGTGGCCACACTCTGACTTGTGGAAATGCCTCAGAAGACTGTTTAACCTTGGGAAGCACTGTGGGAAAAACCAAAGATAGCAGCTAAAAGTGGCGTCATAACCCCTTGTGGTAGGTTTCATGTGAAGTTAAGCGGGTTCCAGTCCCAAATGCCCCTATTTCTGTTAGCTGTTAACATAATAGGTCATGGTATTTTTGAGAAACCAAATACCTATTCAGTATTCAAAATTTTTTAAATACTTTTTTCATTAAGCATAAATTGACTCCATACCAAAAGGCTGACACGAAGAAGAACTTCGGTCTGCAAGCCTCAACAGAGACATGGCAGAGAGGGCAGTCAAATCCATTGCCACCCAAGTGGCAGTGGCAGTGCACAGATGTGACCCAAACACAGGTGATGCCAACTACCCTGAGGCTCTGCCTGTGAGGTAAATGTAGTGATGTGTGCCTCCACTACCCTGTCTTCAGTGAAGCACCTTCGTGACATTTGTCATGGTATGCATGGAGCCAAGCTTTGACAACAACTATACCCAAAAAGTCACCTCTAATACCACGAAACCTGTCTTTCATAGGTGTTTGGTTTTTAGTCACAGTGCTAGGCATCAAGCCAAAGCCCCAGCACATGCGAGGCAAATATGCTACCCCTCACACAAAGGCGGTCCAGTCCAAACAGTGTTTGAAGAAAGAACAGGGCAACAGTGTAATGTCATGATGTGACCAAGAAAATTGTTGACAATAATGAGTCCAGTCTGGCACTGGGAGGCCAGACCCAGTGTCTAGACAGGAAAGTGGCATGGATATGTTGATCTGCCATTAATAGAAAGCAATTGGACAGCATAAAATTTAACAAGGCACAAATCTTGTGCTCCAAGGATCCCACTTCTAAGAGTCAGTACATGAGGACACAGGCAAACAACATGTCCCTCAATTTTTGTTTGTAAGTGAAAGACTAGGTACAACTCATCAGAATGGGCTAAAAAGTGTTACAGTATTCCATATAATGGAATACTATGTACATTAGTCAGTGTTCTCTAGAGGAACAGAACTTACAGAATAAATGTATATATAATATATATATACATATGTATATATATATACATATATATATGTGTGTGTGTGTTTATTTATATATGTTCATATATGTGTATATACATAAATACATATACATTCTAATACATGTGTGTATATATGCATATATATGTCTATACACAGAAAGAAGGGAATTTTAGAATGGCTTTCAGCAGTGGTTCTTAACCTGTGGATTGGGACCACATCAGATATTCTACATATATCAGATATTTATAGTAGGATTTATAACAGTAGCAAAATTACAGTTATGAAATAACAATGAAATAATGTTATGGTTGGGAGTCATCACAACATGAGGAACTGTATTAAAGGGTTGCATCATAAGAAGATTGAGAACCACTGGCTTATAGTCTGTGGTTCAGCTAGTTCAACATTGGCTGTCTCCCAACAAGAAGGTCCAAGAATCCAGTAGTAGTTTGGTCCATAAGGCTGAATGTCTCCGCTGGTCTTCTGTATACAATGGAATCATGAAGTAGGCTCTGATGCTAGTGAAGGAATGGACTTCCCAATGAGAGTGAGAGCAAGCAGGCAAAGAGAGTAAGCTTCCTTCTTCCTTTCCTTTATATAGGCTGCCAGCACACAGTGTGGCCTACATTAAAGGGGGATCTCCCTGCCTCAAAGAAAGAGTTTAGAAATGGGTCTTCCCACTTAAATGTCTTAAGAAAAAAATCCCTCACAGGTCTACCCAGCCACTTGGATGTTAGTTAATTCTAGATTAGTGAAGTTGAAAGCAAGAACAGCTACCACACTATCCTTTGGAGTAAAAGATTGAAGTAACACATCACATGTTAAAATATGTAATATGGGAAAGGAACAGTGCATATGGTGTTCCTGTTTGTTTTTTAATGTAATATTTTAATATCTGAAAATATCATACATGCATAACACGTTTCCACCAGTCACATCCCTCCCCTAACCTCTCTTGAATTATGCCCTACCCCTCCAACCTCATGCCCCCCTCCTTTGTTTCTCATACCCCACCAAGTCTCATTTGTGCTGCACATACGCACATGGCTGTGTGGTCCTCCACTGGAGTATGATCAGTCTCCTAGGGGCCACACCCTTAAAGAAATCATTTCTTTCCCATATGAGCCATCAACCCATAGCCCATAGCCCCCCCCCCCAGCTAGGGGTGGCCATTGGTGAGCCTTTACCTGCTCCATATTAGAATGTTGCCTGGCTTGACTGTGTGCAGGCAGCCACAGCTGCTGTGAGCTTATGAATACAGTGGTCCTGCCATGCCCAAGTGTTTTGGTCTATTCTTCCCCAACTTCTGGCTTTTCCAATCTTTCTTCTCCCTCTTCTAAGTTTATTCCTGAGCTTTGTGCAGAGGGGAATGCTATTAGATGTCCAGTGTGTAGCTCAGTACCCCATGGTCACTTAATGTCTGCACTTTGACCACTTGTGAAATTCTAGGTCAACTGCCATCTGGGTCAACTACACAAAGAACCTCTGATGACGTCTG